CATCTTATACATGGTAATTTTTGGCATCATTGAAATGGTTATGCACTCCTGTGATATAGCGACATTATACAAACACATTGTAAAATTAAATTATGTAACATTTGTGGGAGACTATTAAAACCCAACAATTGACCAGGCGCGGTGGCTCAGGCCTGTAATCCCAGGACTTTGGGAGGCCGACGTGGGCGGATCACAAGGTCAGGAGAGCAAGACCATCCTGGCTAACACGGTGAACCCCCGTGTCTACTAAAAATACAAAAAAAATTACCCGGGCCTGGTGGCATGCGCCTGTAGTCTCAGCTACTCGGGAAGCTGAGGCAGGAGGATGCTGTGAACCGGGGAGGCGGAGGTGGCAGTGAACCGAGATCGCACCACTGCGCTCCAGTCTGGGCTGCAGTGCGACTCTGTCTCAAAACAAAAACAAAACAAAACAAAACAAAAAAACAATTTAAAAGCAGACAATTTGATGTTTTTATCTAAGTATTTTTTCCTCACATAGATATAATTTAGAATAATTTCACAATGGCTTAATTCCTCTGAAGGTATATTTTGTCACAAAATGATTGCTTGCTTGATATCCTTAAGATTACGCTGTTAAACTGCTTAGTGTAGGTTAAAAAAGAGAAAGATAGAGAGCTTTCAGATATTATCAGCCAATATGAATATGCAGATTTCAGGTATCTTTATGTCCAAATCCATTTTAATTACATGAAATTCAAAATCAGAGACAGTTAAAGTGTTGATCTAATCATAGATTTTGCACCCAGGCTTGTGGCAAACGGGAAGATTAAAATGTTGCTTATTAATGCTTTTAGTCTGAAAGATGTATAAGTATATGTGTACATTTATATATATAAACTTTGTTAATATATAAGCAAATATATAAAATATTATTTTATTTACAATAATAAAATATTGTCTTATTTTTGTACCTCTTATATTATGAATTTAGAACTTGCTGGGATTCACCTGTATTTCTCTTATGGCAATTGCTAGCAATGTTCATAAATGCATAGGTTATGGATTTAAGATTTTCTATTTTATTAATGGATTTTTAGACTGTCTTGGAAAAAGCTAAGTTTTATCACAAACATAAAAATAAAGGTTTGTATACAATATGAATATGTGTGCATGTGTGTGTATGGTTTATGGTGCAGGTAAACTGCAAGTACTATAGTCTTTTGTGTTACTTCATCTGTTTTGCAGAAATGTCATATAAATTAAGAGGCACAATTGAACTAATTAAGGCTACTGCATTTAGATACTTCCCTTTGAGGCCTGCATAATAGTCAGATGCAGCAACAGGAGTATAGAAAGTGATTCTTAATACTAAAAAAGTGTTTAAAGTTATCGAATGTCACATGATATTTCAGGGAATCATGCTTTTAAAAGATTAGACACTATAAACTAATAGTTTATAACTGTAAACACTATAGTTTACAGTGACTAATATAGGCAGAACTGCCCACAGTTCCATCTTGTGTGCTTTAGAATTGTTTTCCTTCTGCAATATAAACATGCTTATCTGTGAGTATCTCTCATCTGCACACTATTTAGATTTTGTTATGTTTCTTGGCAAGGGATGCATTCTGTGAAGGGGTGATCATGTTATATTAAGGAAAGTAGGAAAATAAAACTAAATAATCTCTTGGTAATCCCAGATTGAACCTGAAGAAAAAAGTGAATATTGGGTCAACTATTTTTGATTTGATTTCTTCTGTTCAGGGTTTCTGGACTTGTTTTCTGGTGTATATATTGAATATATGAAATGGTGGCTATCTAAATAATTTGCTTTTGTTTTCATTTCCATAGCTTATAATTCAACATATCTATTCCAGAATCCATCCCCCTTAAAGTACAGAGAGCAGTTTGACCATCTACCTTAGAACTGTAGGGCTTAAGTAAATACTCCTCAATGTTATTTTTTATTATACACACTTAACTTATTGAGGGCATTTAAAAAGGTAGAAGGTACACATGGCAGAAATACTGCTAATACAACTTTTCCTGTCTTAAACAAACCCTGTCTTTGTGGCAGCTTTCCCTCCTTCTCCCTCCAGACTCCACTCTACCTTCATCTCCCCGCAGCCCTTGAGTCTCTCTCATTCTCCTTTCCCTCCTTCCCTTCACTTTGTTTTGCTTCTTCCCTTTCTACTTTCTTCCTTTTTTCCATTTGTCTTTTATTTTTTGTCCAACCAGTCATTCATTGTATATTATCTGTCTCTTCTTTCTGTATTTACCTATTCATCTATTTATGTTTCTTCAAAAATGATTTCCCTCTCTCACAAATTCTAACTTGACCCTTAACAGTTAGAGTTCACTTCGTGCTCATAGTTTCTGCTATTTGTACAAAAGTGTCCATTCAGTTTTCTTCAGTGCCTGTGAACTGCTGCCATCAAAATTATAGTCTAATCACAAGGTGAACAGCTTGTAATGCATAATAATCAATACTCAAAATGTACTCCCCACGATGTGATATAAAGGAGTTAAGTAAAACGCTGCAGATTTTCAGCAGTGACACGCAAACAATAATTTTATGTTGTTGGTTTCAAATTCAAGGTTGATTTACACTTTTATACGTCTGCATTATTCTCTTTTTCTCTCTTTTAAATTCATATTGAATTCATTCAGTGTTAGCTATCCAAATAGCTACAATGAAAGGCTGGTCAATATGAAATATGAAGCTACATTAGCATATTTTGAAGACAGTGTATGAGTTATAAATGAATTTAAAAAAATAAATGATGCTAGAAGATACAAAGTATTACTGAGTGACATAGATTGTGAAGTTTTCTAATTTTCCTTCTTTTTGAAAGATAAAATTTGTTGAAAGTTATCTATTTATTGAAATGATATTATATTATTTTTTCTAACATTTACTGACAGATATAAATAAGGTAATATTTGTGATTCCCATTTAGAGTAGGTAAAGGAAACATAGACTCATACCTGATATTGAACCTTTCTTTTTGCTTTTCTACGTATTTATTTACTTATTTATTTTGAGACAGGGTTTAACCCTGTCGCTCAGGCTGGAGTGAAATGGCATGATTACAGCTTACTGCAGCCTTGACTTCCTGAGCTCAAGCCATCTTCCTGCCTCAGCCTCCGGAGTAGCTGGGATGGGAAGCACGTACCACCTTGCCTGGCTAATTTATTTATTTATTTTTTTATTTTTGTAGAAGGGCATCTTGCTATGTTGCCCAGGCTAGTCTCAAACTCCTGGGCTCAAGTAATCCTCCTGCCTCAGACTCCCAAAGTGCTGGGATTATAGGCATAAGCCGCTATGCTGGGCCAATATTGAATTTCTGATACCCCCTTTTAAAAATTTTCAGCTCTAATTTAAATACATAAACCGAGGCTTCTGAATAAAATTAATGTCTAGTTTCTGCTGCTCTTCATGTCTAACAGTCTTTCAATTTGTAGATAGTATTTGGGTCTGTAGATGCCCTGTGAGACTACTTTTCAGCATTCTTTCCTGCATAATAAATTTAACAGTGAATATTTAATTTACTCATAAGAAAACATTTCTTTTAAAAAATGACAAAATTAAAATAGAAGAAAGATACCTAATTTTTTTTTTTATGTTTCGCAGGTGTGAATAAATAGTATAGTATCTTTGTTCTGTCAAGACACCATTTGATTTCTTCCTACAAAATTTCAATCTCTTAAGAAATTATTTCATCTTAAAACCTTTCGAGATAAAACAGCTTGTGGGCCTTTTAATGTAAATAATTATTTATATGTTTTAAATATAATTTTAGGTTTCATATATAGCTTTGAGAAGTGATATACAAATTTATCAATGCTGTTACATTTGCTGCTATTTTAAATACATCTTTCATGTGGAAGTCTTTTCTTGCACAGGACACTCTAAATTCATGGGGATCAACCAGCATCAATTAAATGACAAATCCCAAGGGCGCCTAAAACTGTAGGCACTTCTATTTCCATTACGTAAAAGTAAACTGTAAATATCCTCTCCTAAAAGTAAAAGTCTCTGATTTAAAAACAGTCATTAACTACAATAGGCAAAACCATTTATAGAAGAAAGGGACAACTGGGAAGATGTAGCTAAAGTTATGGTTTAAAATATTGGGGTCAATGGAAGTATGCAGCTGTTCTATAATTAAGGATTTTTTTTTTTCATATTCCATGTTCAGCATCTGTGAAGTAGAGATCATTAAAAGAATGCTTTATTTAGATTCTCTATTGGCAAAGGAAAAAAGTAAAAATTCCCACAGAAAGCATTATTATTTAAAATGGAAAAATCATGATTTGTCATTCATTTTGAACTATATCTGTTGCGTAAATGCATTTTCACCTACTTACACCCAAAAACAAAAAGCTGAACAGAAAACTGATTACATGATCCATTAGCCTATCTAATAAAATAGGAATGTGCACTTTTTGACAAGTTTATTCATAATACATTCTGATAAAAAATTCCATTTGCCACTCTCAGTAGGAAAAGTAAGCATTTAAAGGAAACCTTTTATTTCATGACTGTCATCCAAATAGCAATTACAAGCAAAATAGTGATAAAACATTTTTTAAAGAGCAGCTTAGAATTTGTTATGGAAGTTTGCAATCCAGTTTTTGCCCTGTTATTTGATTTGAAAAAAATAATGCTGATAATCTTTTTTGAAGTTCACTGTTTCTAGGATGAGTTATAGAGAACAAAGACTAACTGATATCCCCAGGAGTTTAGTTTACAGTGATGCTCTGTTCTACTGAGAATGATTCTCCAATGGCCACCTCTTACTTCTTCCCAGGCTATGGGAATTCGTTAATATCTAGAGAATAGTCTTAAATTAAACCATTGTCTCAACCAGCAGGTTTATGCAACCATCCTGAAATGTTTTAATTATTGTTTTCTTTTCCTTTTTAATTAAGAGACCAGAGGTCAAGCAAGCCCATTGAGAGCTGATCACAGCCTCTGTAGAAATTTAAAGAAAACCCTAATGATTGGATTTGCTGTTTTGTCTTTTGTTTTGCAGAACCAGAAGAGTGTGTTAATTGCACAGATGAATGCCGAGTGCTTGGTCATTCTGACAGGTGCTGGATGCCACAGTTCCCTGCAGCCAATCAGGCTGAAAATGCAGATTACCGCACAAATCTCTTTGTACCTACAGTTGAAGCTAATGTTGAGACTGAGACTTACGAAACTGTGAATCCCACTGGGAAAAAGACTTTTTGTACATTTGGAAAAGACAAGCGAGAGCACACTATTCTCATTGCCAACGTTAAACCTTATTTAAAAGCCAAACGTGCCCTGAGCCCTCTCCTCCAAGAGGTCCCCTCAGCATCAAGCAGCCCAACCAAGGCATGCATCGAGCCTTGCACCTCAACAAAAGGCTCCCTGGATAGCTGTGAAGCAAAACCAGGAGCCCTGGCTGAAGCAAGCAGTCAGTACTTGCCCACTGACAGTCAGTATCTGTCGCCTAGTAAGCAACCAAGAGACCCTCCCTTCATGGCTTCTGATCAGATGGCAAGGGTCTTTGCGGATGTGCATTCCAGAGCCAGCCGGGATTCCAGTGAGATGGGTGCTGTTCTTGAGCAGCTTGACCACCCCAACAGGGATCTGGGCAGAGAGTCTGTGGATGCAGAGGAAGTTGTGAGAGAAATTGATAAGCTTTTGCAAGACTGCCGGGGAAACGACCCTGTGGCTGTGAGAAAGTGAAAAAAAAAAAAAAAAAAAAAAAGGCATTGGCATTTTCTTGTCTCTTCTGTTGATTTAAAGATGATTCCTCCTGGTGATAACCCATTTTACAGGGATGAAGAAAGACCAATGCTGCTTTAAGGCTTTTAGTGAACATCTGAAGTGCCCACAAGTATGTTCTTTCCACTGCTGTTTCTTTTTCAGAGATAACAATGGTTTCGTTTTGATCAAACTTATATTAGGACAGAATTATTGATGCTTAAAGAGAAAAGAAAAAAGAGAAGAAAAAGGAGAGAAGAAAAAGGAGGATAAGAAGAATTACCTTTTGACAATCTGTTAGGAAGGTATGCAGTGTGAGAATTGAAGTATTTCTGATCACTCTCAGACTGTCCTCCGTGATTTATGCTGACTTAACTGTTTACCTATAAACCCCATACAAAGCAGGGTCATAATTTGTGATCTGTGGTGGATTTCTAGCAGTCATCACAGGCTTCTACTGAAAGTCCTGAAAAGACCTTGCAGTAGTCCAAGCTACACCAAACATTAACACGTATTTGTGGTAAACATTTCTGTATAAAGTTACCTGACACACACATATAAACACAAGGAACATTCCATATCATTAGTCAAAAACAAAAATAAAAACAACAACAAAAAAAAACCCTTTGGTCATTTGTAAGACATCTCATGTCGTATAAAAGTTAAATGTAAAAAGATATAGTCCATTTTGTCCTGCACACACGTAGACTAATTCACGTCATTAAAGGAGAAGAAAATTTAAAGATTTAAAATGCCTATTTAGCATTTTAGTGTCCAACAAAGATTTAAACAATGATGAGTATGTTTTAAATTTGACATAGAAAAGTTCTAAAAATTAGTTACCATTGCGTGGTAAGATTCAGAGAAAATTAACTTGATTAATATGTTTTATTCATTTGTGGACACTAAAATAGCTCAGGAAAGTGAAAATGTCTTAGACATACACAAGTCACATGACCATTTAAATGTGCAAATGTAAGAAGATTCAATGTGTTTACATCAAATGACATATTTTTTATTGATTTATTGCAGATTCAGTGCATATGAGCCAAATTGTTGAGTGTATAAGAGCTATATTGTGTATTTTATTAAATTAATATATAGTTGTGTTGCAAAAATATTTGGGCTTATATTGTAAATGGCAAGTGTTGCCTCGGTAGCTGTCGAACTCTATGAGTTTTGTTTTTTCCTGCTTCCTTTTCCCCATGGAGTGTGGGAAGCAGTGCCTCAGAGCAAAGTCTCTTGTTTAATGTATAGTCTACCAAGTACTACAGTACATAATCTGTTCAAAATGTGTTTGAGTGAGCTGATGGAGCTAACTGAAAGGTCAAAAAATACATCCATCAGTCATGGCTATGTGCAAGTCCTTGTAGAAGATTTTATTAAAGTCATGCTAAATCACAAGAATTAACATTTGTACCAATATCTGAAACTTCTTCATGTTTTTTCAATAACATACAGCTTCTGCCTATGTAGATATTATACCATCAGTTGGTTCTCAAAGTATTTTAAGTGGTTCAGATGTGTGTTCCCATTAAATTTCAAAAACATGAAAAATGCTTTAATGCATGTATGTACCAGCAGTGGTTACTTGCATTGTGTAGTGTTTTTCAAGAGGTCTGTGTCTTAACAAAATGTTTTCCTTTATCTCAGTGCTCTTCTGCCTCTTTTTGTTGGTGTTCTTTGAGAACAATACACCTTCTTTTCCTTCATTTGGTTACACCTTTTCTTGTGACATTTAGCGAGTTTCAAACTTAATTCCATATGAGGCTAAGAAACCTCAAATTTCAGGAATTGGGAAAAATAAAATTAGCACTTGCAGAAGTAGCAGCAGATGGGAAAATGCCTTGATTGACATTTTCTTTCAGCATTTAAAATTTTTGGCATTTTACAGCTTCATGACAAACAGTTTTGTGCCCATACCTTAGAAAATGTGGTGCTGAGTTAAATAAAGGCTGTTTGAGCACTGGAGCAGAAAAATGCATTATTTGCAAACTGGTGGAGAATTTTGTGCCTTCTCTTCTGGCCACCAAGCCAGTGTAGAAACAGCATAAATGTCATAAAAATTCTTATATTTAAAACAAAAACAAAAGCAAAAACAAACATTGAATTAAATTAAGTTTTGTAATTTTAAACTTTAAAAACTTCTACTGAAAATACTTCCATCAAATGCCATCAATATTTTAGACTGTACCTCGTTTGCAAAACTGCTTTGAGAGGGAAGAGTGGACAACTCCCATCAGCCTTATTCGCTTGAGAACTATATTTTGGTTCCTAGTAACAGCCTTTCCAAAGCTCTACTCTTGGTGTTTATTACTCATAAATGTTTAAATTAGAAAAGAAGGGATCTTGTACATGTGAAACCTAATTGACTCTCTATATTTTGGACAATTTATGTATCTGAAATGTGTTGTCTCTGTTATATGACGTTATTTTTGCCAGGAGACTACAGGTTGATTTAGCTTGATAGCTGAAATTTGATGGAAAACTGATTTCCATTTAGTCTTACCAAGTGTTGCCTCTCTCTTACTAGACAGATAACCACTTAGTAAAACCTAAAGCAGTATGTAAATGAAATCAGCAAAGAGAGTAGGGTTTATTTTTTAAACATTCTTAATGCTAAGTAACCAGTTGTTCAATTTATTATATGTGTCTGAGGACATTAAAACACCATAAGATTTTAAGAATTGGTTGTGCCAATGTGTGAGGGATTTACCTTTAGGCTCTCTGTCACCAGTGATTTGCTAGTGTTAGCTGTTTAACACATTATCTGTATTTAGTAGTGATTATTTATTTACAAGTTGGTGGTAATACAGCAGTCAGGACCCTAAGCTTTTATAGTTGAATTGAAGAAATCTCGCTTTCATTCATTTAGCTGGCAACTGCCTTTATAGCAGACCTCTGGTGCTTGGCTTTCAAGGAAGCCTATGAGATGCCAAAATCACACCTTTAGGGAACAACTTGCTCTAATAGGTGATGCATGAGCAAACAGTGAGATTTGAAGGGGTTTTAGCATAATTTAGAATGTGAAAAAAATATCAGTTCACATCTTTCAAGTACTAACCCCTCAAAAATATCCCACACATACAAAATATGTGATGTGATACTACTTTAGGTCTTTTAGGTCTTTAAGTAACTGAAGTTAAGCACAGAAAAAAAAAAAAAATCACTTCATGGAAATTTCAGTAAGAAACCCAAACTTCTAAAAATTGCATACAGATGAATTAAAAAAAAAATCAGCAACAAAATAACCTTTTCATCAGTTAAAAGTAGTGAGAATCTGTGTTAGTTATACCTATACCAAAGTAAACATTAAAGAGACATATCATGCAATTTCAAAGAATTCTTTCATGCTATTTCTTAACCTGACACTTCTAACTTTATTGCAGGCAATAGACAAAGATTGGCTCACTACTCCATAGGTTAATTGAATTCCTGGTTGAGAAACTAACTTGTTTTGTTTTCCAAAATTAGCTGAAATCTTGTAAAACATGACTTCTCTTTAAAGGATCTAGGCATTGCTCAATTTAAAATATGGCACCATAAAAAAAGCCATGTAGTAATAGAGCATATGCTTTTTTAGAACCAGGTTAAAAGCTGTTTGTTATCTAATAAAGTAGAAGTTACTGAGTTCAACAAATAGACAGGTCTGGCATAATATATGCCCAGTCATAATTGTCTGATTATATTCTTTTGACAACAGACAGCATTTATCAGAGCATTAATTCAAATGAGAGTTTTGGCTATCAAGATGTGTTGATTCGAAATATCATTGAATGAGACCTGATTAAAGTCTGACTTTCCTGGCCCCAGTGTTTTGCAGGTTGGCTATTTCCATTGTCAGCCCATCACTCCATAAGGTTCTTAGCTGCACCAAGAGATTGGTGAACAAGGACAACAACAAAAGCAGCATACATTGTATGAATTTATCTCAACGCTATTGTTTAATGGCTGTGTTTAATGTGACCTATCTGGAAAATGAGGACTCTGAATAAAAAACTATTACTAATAGTGGTGTTGCCTTCCCTTGAATTCATTAACACAGAAGGGATGTGTTACACACTGCATATCACAGGGACCCTGATCATGATTATTTTAGAAAAGCAAACTGTGGCATCACAACTCATTTTGCTAGTTATCTGCTTGACAGTAAAATAAGACTTAAAAAAAAATACTTGATAATATCACTAGTTTCTCAATAGAAGTGGATTCGCAATCTTTCACATAGCTTAGATAAATTGACTAGTTAAATAATTACCAAGGGTTCATGGCCTAATGATATTTGTGGTTTTTAATATTTGCAATTAGTATAAAGATAATTTGGCATAAGATCCCAGAGGATTTCAGAACAGTAAGTTTATAAGTCCTGTCATAATCTTACATGACTGATGAAAGCAAATAGAATCGTCCTCCCTCATCTGCAGGGGAAACGACCTGAGACCCCTAGTAAATGCCTGAAACTCCATATAGTACAGAATCCAATATATACAATATGTATAAATGGTATTTTAAAGTAAACGCATATTTATCTTGGCATTTTACAATAATAAATCTCCTTTTCTCCCCATTTAATAAGTATCTATTGCATTCATACTATGTGTTTGCTTTGGGCCATGATGCCTCAGGAGTAAACACTAAAAAGGAATGGTGTCAGGGTTACTATCTTGTTGGAGAAGTAATTAGGTACATTCTAATACGCATTACTCTTTATAAATTATATTTGGTTGTTTGTATTTTTTCTCAGTTAATCCACACATCCCATATATCTGCCATTTCACTAACTGAGTGGCATCTTCTAAATCTCAAACCAGTGTAATATTCTTTTTGTTCAGACTATTTTTTTTTTAACTTTACTTTTCTTCCAGCAGCGTAACACATACCATGAAGAGTGCATTGCTTTTTCATATCTAAGAAGATCTTTATGGGTTATATTTATTGTTATAGATTAAATAACTTGCATATTTATTCTTTTGTTCATTTATTTGCTTGCTTTTTCTTTTTTTATTGAAGACCATTTACGCACTAGGTACTATACAACGATCCTAGTGTACAAAGAAGTGCTAAGCCAATTACATTTTGCTCTTAGAATTTGTATAGTTTTTGCTTGGTGATATTTACTAACATAGAAATTGACCTTATGCTACCTTGACATTACTACTTAATACAAGTAATTTCATTACATAATAAAAATAACTTGACTTTTAAGAATAGCAAAAACCATATGCTTACCATGCCGTTCCTTCACTGCTCTCAAGTAGAACAAGTTGTTAACTGAGTTACCTAAACAATCTGACGAGGGTTGTACTGGTCAACCTTTTTTCTTTATTTATTGAAGATCACTGAGTCTTCAATAAAAGTACTTCTGGGACTCAGTACTCCCTGAGAACTGAGTCATTCAAATGAAACTCGCTGTCTGGCTATGGTGCAATTAGGAGGACCTGTGGAAGGGACATATATCACAGGCTTACTCCATATCAATGAAATGTTAAAGTCCTCCATATAATATTTACTTAAGTAGGTATAGTCACTAGATACAATTATTTGGTAATAGCATCATTCTTCGTAGAATATGAAGAAAATTAATTTGTAAAGATTAGTATAGCATCAATAAGGCACATACAAATAGATCAGCCAGCTAAAAGACCATCTTAAAGCTCTTTATTACCTGCTTTTGGAGGTGGATGCATTCGGCTCACCAATAGCATGTATCATTTTTGGTTCATTTTAGACACTAATGATATTTTAAGAAATCTATTCTACATTAGAGATCAAATTCTCAGTATTCCTAAAGGAGGGTGCAGCTTCTTTTAATGTTCCTCATTTTAAATATTTCAGAAAGAATTATCAAAAAATAACTTAGGTTTTGGTCAAACTATGGCAATAAGTATTTTACTGCAAGGAATAAGTAAAGGAGGGAAGATACTGGTGAGCTTTTACAAACTATATATTACACAGGTCAACTTACCGTTCATTAGCTCTAATTAGTTGCTCTACTTTTTCTCTTACAAAATGAAGCATCTCACTTTGAGAGGAATGATATGTTATTTGTTCCACTCTCCTTTTCTTATACACATTAAGTTATTTATAATAATCAAATAAACTAAATTTTGATTATGATTCATATTTTAAAATAAAGCTTTCTGAAGTTATGTAATTCAAATTACTTCATAACATATTCCAAAGATTGTAAGGAAAAATAACCAAATTTTAAACCTTTTTAAAATTAACTTCAAATAGATTATTACTATATTTTGTTCAAAAAATTGGCATTCAGCACTACTTATATGAAGACTATGCTTACTTTCCTAAGGATAATTCAGAATCTAAATTAATACTGATAAACTCTGCTTATAGAGCATATTTCAATTCACAGAACACTTTCACAAATTGAGAAGATGTTACAGAAGTAAGGATTCTGAAGCTCAAAGAGGTCAATGGACTTATCCAAGGGCAACTAGTTGGGAAGCCTTGTACTCAGACTTGAACTAAAAGTTCAATTCCTCCTCTTCTCATAGACTTTGTGAATTCTGCAATCCTGCCATATTTAAAATCTTACCCCTCTAGTATCTTCAATGTATCATTTGAAACCATTTTTAAAATTATTCCACTAATATGATTGTCTTTTAAAATTCACTGTTACATCATATACTTTAGATCATCTCTATGTTAATGGTTCTTAATGGTCAGAATTGTTTCTCCAGGATTGCCTTCAATTTTTCATTGCCATTTTAAAGATATTTCACAACATGGGTGGTATGGGCTCTAAAAAATATTATGGCACATTAGAGATTTTAAGTGAGCTTGGTCTGTTTTCACCTGGAAGCAATTATGTAGACTGTATTGAATTCCTTTATATCATAAAGTTTTGCATATATAAATTAACAGTATTATCAATTGGCTTCTTAGAAATGGTTACATAAGTTCTAGTAATATTAAAAAATATATTTAAATATTACATCCATACATATGGGTTAACATACACATATAAAGGCACGAAAGCCTAATAATTTCAGAAGCCAGTATCATAAAACAAAGGGGAAGGAGAAGTTAAGTAACAGCAATATGGCTAATAAATAAATAATACATTTTAAAATGTCTGACTTGCTTCATTTATATTAAATAAATGCAATTGTATTGCCTTCTTCAAAGATTAGATGAAAAGGTAATACTGCAATTGCTAGTAGCCACTTTCAGGGTGGTTAATCAAGTGAGGCTGGCCTGACTCTGAATTTAACTTACTAAAAAAAATTGTTCAATATCTCTCCTTATAACATACAGAGATCCATCTTATTCTCAAAAGATGCAGTAATACATTTCTAATGTTCTTTAAGCACTACTTAGTTTATATTTTAGAAATCTAAATTAAAATAGATGGGATGGGATATTCACTCGTTTCCTTGATCTGCTAAATACCAGTACACTGCCTCTTTAACAGTCTTAAGTCATATTTTGATAGTATTTTCCCTTACCACTGCAGTTTAAATGTTGTCTTTAATTTAATAATCTGCTTTGAGATAATATTTTTGAACTTTTATTTTATCCTTTCCCTTTAAGAATCAAATTTATGTCCATATCTTTTTGTCCATAGTATTACTAAACATTCTTTAATAGTTGTCTACTATCTCCAATGCGATTATTATATTATTTTCACTTTTATTTCATAATTTTCTCTCAATGACAACTAAATATTATGTTGTCTTTCTCATCTACTTATTTCTCTATTAAAATAACCTCCATATGTCCGCATGTTGTAAATCAATGATGGAAGTAAGAATGACCTACTCAATAATTAAATTAGGTGGAAAATGTCCAAACTACTTATGTAAACCTGAAGGAAAACTAACAGTAGTATTTAGGTATAACCCACATGGAGTGTTGAAACAGGAAGTATACAAAATGATAAACAGGTTAGAATGACAAGTCTCAGATAAAATCTTTATGCAAGAGTTCTTAGCTATCTCATTGAAAGGTTGAATAAGTGATAGAAAATTAATTATCTTACTATATTATCACTAATTCCTGTGTATTAAGAAATCTTCATTTTAAGATCTCACCATGTGAAGTGTTTGACTTTGATTCGAGGGTAAGAGAAGATAACCTCTGAGATTATGTGCTCATGATTTCTTAACCTGCATTTCTTCCTAAAAGATTTCTAAAATTCAAATCTTACATGTACTTCATTTCTTTAATTTTGCACAACTACAAAAATTAATCTCTGTTTATAATCTAGAGGAGGAAAGGAAATAACTGAATGGGTCAAATATGACTTCTCTGGTGCCTTTCCTTCCAGAGAATGTACATCCCAATTCAATTCAACGGAATTTTATGGAGTATGTATTGTATATTTTGACACCATGGGGCATACAAATGTTAAGTAGATACAGTTTTTGTCTCACTAGAATTTATAATATACTGAGAAATGAAGATATTTACAAAATACAGACTGTAGTTCGTACTATGAGAAAAGTACAAGTCACAATGAGCAAAAATTTTTTCAAAAAAGCAAAAGCAAGTACTTTCAATGAAGGAAATGAGAGGTCAAAAAGGGAATCAGTAACAGCTTCTTGGAGACAGTAGCATTTGAATTGAGCATTTAAGGTAGGACAGGATTTTGGCAGCAGAGACTTACAGAAAATGCATTCTGGAAGAAGAGAGAGGCAGCCTGTATAAAGACATTTAAATAAAGTCAGGATATATTCTGATTAGAAAGTTAAACAGAGTTCGAAAGGTAAGTTCGAATAAGGTGGGGATTGTTCCAAATGTGTCACTTAGGAGATGTCACCGTGATGTCTATCCTAAGGAAGATCCTTAGCCAAGAGACTTAAGGACACCTGAATTAGAGTCACTAGCTTGGAGAGCTCTGCAGAAGACTTGCCAAGCTGAATGTGAATTCAGGAAAATAACAGTAGGACAGCTTGCTGCTGCCTGGTGATCCATTCTTTATAAGATGCTGCCTAATAGCACCTTGTTCTTGGGCCAGGTCCAACTATCTAGAGGCAATGCCAACTTTG